AAAAGAAAGTCAGTTTTGTGCATAAAAAATATGATCCATTTCGGCAGAAAGAAAATGAAGACTAGTGTGAGCCCTGAAGCTGGGAGAATGTTAAATTCCCCTAAATTATACGCACCCATAGCTCAGGGGGGACTCCCCCAGTTAAAAAAATGTGTGCTGAACTTGTGCATTTAGGTGTGGATTAAGATCTTGACGAAAAATGTCAACTTTCAATATGACTGAAGTTCAAAGCATTTTTAGCTAGTATGTCTGATCTGGCCCCGAGTTCACAAAGCATTCTCAGACTTAAGTTGAGAATTTACTCAAACTTGTTCACCTTATTTTAACTAAAATATAGCCCTTTATAATAATTTTATTGTTTGAATGTATCAGATACATCAATAAGAAACTATGTGCAAAGTTTTGTATTTCTGCATCAAAGATATTTGTCATAAACAGTGATTAAAAGTTGAGTAAATTCTCATCTTAAGTCTGAGAATGCTTTGTGAACTCGGGGCCAGATTAAAACACAGATCCTATTTCATTTCCTTTTTTATAATTCAAAATTTCGTTTTACTTGATCTGGAAGTGTTGTTGATGTAAGGAATTAGTCAATGAAACAGTCTGTTACGGCGAATTCTTGACATGCTCTACACTGAACTGTGGGTAAACCCCTAGAAACCTCAGCGCTGATTGATTAATCAATATCTGACGTCATAGAGTCAAAAGCCGCTCGTATGACATCTGACGCGCCCCTCTCAGTACAACTGGTCAGATCTTCATGTAGTAGAGGCCATCGAAATATAAAAAAACGAAAGGAAATATAGATCTGTATTGTAATCAGATTGCTAGTATGTCTATTTACCTGTGTACCTCAAATTTAAGCTGTGAAAAATGAGTCGGGTATATTTTTCTTAAAAAAATACAAATACGATTAGCGACTTTGAATATAACCCAGGTTTAAAGCATTTTTACCTGTAGTATATGTTGGTCCCGAAATGACCTAGTTTGTGTTGAAGGGGCCTGAATCCCTATTTGATTTTGTAGTATAACGACATTGGGTGGCATTAAAAGTCCGAAAATCATTATCAGTGAGATTTTTACCTGCTGTGTCCATTTACCTGTAGTATAACAGCCCTGATTGGTATTTTCAGTGGAATGTACGTCAGGTAGAAAATATTTTGTTTGACATGTAACAGACTGTAGTGGAGTTTATATCAGAGTAAATTAACACCTGATTATATAGGTAGGGGGAGAATCTATTTATACATATATTTACCTGTATCTACAGGTGTAAACAGGTGCCCCTCTCACATCTTATCATATTACATATATACCTGTATATACTTACCTTACATAGAAACTCTCAGATAGGAGGAGCCAGGCTCGCTAGCCTGGAGTTCGCTTGTTCAATCCCTGCATTGGCCAAGAAAGTTCATCAGGATTTTCCTGACGTGGTTTCCCCTTGTCAGTGGTGCAGAACAAGGACAGCTGTCTAGTCATTCGGATGATACGAAAAACCGAGGTCCCGTGTATACATTGACATGCATGTAAAAGATCCCTTGGCAGTTGGAATTTGATATAATAGTAGGCCATAGTGCCGCTGCCCGGGCAAAATTTCCCTCATAGCATGGTGTATGCCCATCTTTATTAGCCCAGTCGGAGCAGAACAGTAGGACATTAAACCCCATTTCATTTCATTTCATAGATAGGATAAAATAATCACAATAACTCTGTATTACAAATAAATTCCTACAGATGGGGCTAATCAAGACTGCATAGGCCTACATAGAAATGAAATGAAATGGAGGTTTAACGTGAGAGAGTGAGAAATGTGCTTTAATGTCGACTTGACATAAACTAAGTCATTTTGGGACTAACATATGGTTCAATTTTATTTCAATAATTTGCTTGTGCATAGGGGTCTTTAGCAGTGGTAGGAAACCGAATTAACCGGCGAAAACCCATCAGGTTCGACAGGCGACCCTACTCCTTGTCACATACGATACAACACGCACAAGCTAACCATTTGGCCATCCAACCAATGAACACAAGCATATGCCATACAGTGTGCTATGAGGGAAATGTTGTCAGGAAAGCTACGGTCTACTCTTATTTTCAAATTCCATCTGTCAAGGGCTCTTTCATGTTTACACGGTACCTTGATTTTTCATCCCATCCGAGCGACTAGATGTTGTTCCTTGCCAGACTCTTCGTCCTGCGCCATTGATAAGTGGAAACCATGCTGGAAAATCGTGGGGAATTTTCTCAGCCAACACTTTCTAGGATAAAACTATCTCACTCACTGAGCAACCACGGCTCCAGAAACACATCATAGATATGATAAAATAATCAGAATAACTCTTTATTACAGTCGTATATATAGAATGGTTTAAAGGCGATGGGATCTGTTAGGCTGAATGGTTTATTGTCACAAGGTTTGTCATTTGGTCAATGGCTACCTTTTTTATGATCTGAAAGTGTGTCATCTGTAAGGGAGGTTTGGTCAATGGCTACCTTTTTTTATGATCTGAAAGTGTGTCATCTGTAAGGGAGGTTTGGTCAATGGCTACCTTTTTTTATGATCTGAAAGTGTGTCATCTGTAAGGGAGGTTTGGTCAAAGGCTACCTTTTTTTATGTCTATGATCTGAAAGTGTGTCATCTGTAAGGGAGGTTTGGTGGTCGAATGGTCTAACTCATAAACTCATAAGTTTTAGACCATAAGGTCTGTCTTTGGGTTTAGTTTGAATGTATCAAGCCCATATTTAAAGGATTCCCTGTCCAACCTCCAGGTCCTTGTCCTTTAGAGCAAGCAAATTAATGAAATAAAATCACGCTATTTTACCGACATTTCGCCTAATAGTTTGGATGCAGCTATGACGGGTGTGGCGCCAGGCAGGGTAAGCTTACTCTTCCGGACACCTGTTACCACTGTTTGTCGTGTAATTTGTACACGAGGAGCAGTCCATTTGCTGATTACACTATTTTGCTTGAATACACTATTTTGCCTATAACGTTTTTTAGGACTTCGAATTCTGTCTTATGGTTTGGATTGTTCGTACTTGGTTTTATTTTATTGAACCATATGTAAGCCCCAAAATGGCCTAGTTCATGCCAAGTGAATGTTATACCCAATTTGTCTCTAAATATATAAGGGAAAAAGAGTAGTGTTGTCTGCCGAACTTTGTGGCTTTCTCCTTGTTTTCCAGAATGCAGCTGATCGAAGACAACTGCACACAAGTTTATCTATTGAAATCAAAATACCAGTCCAAAAACAGATTAAAGATACATTATGTAAGATTTAGATAAAGGGCTGCCCGTTCTTCCTATAATAGTAAAAAAATAGATAATGCAAAATGAATATGTGGAGCGGAATAACGATTGTTTGACAACAGTACTTGACCATTTTAACTTTAAATTTTCAAATCTCGCGAATGTTTAAATCCATTAAAATCTCTGCCATCCCATAATTTAGAGAGTTTATTATGGGCTTTGCATGTGAATGAATTTCTAAATAATAATTAATACAACATTTGATGCCAGAAAACAGACATGCAATGGACAGATTTAGCCCTTGTATCTTTAATAGATTGCATGGTTTTATCAAACATTTGGTTAGTCACTTTATGCCATTGCACCAGGGGGGTTGGATGGCTTAGTGGTTAGCAAGTGCGCGCTGTATCATTAAGTCTGTCATTGAGTCAACTGGCGTGGTTTCGAATCCCCGGTTGTACGTGACAAGGAGTAGGGTCGCCTGTCCAACCACGTGGGTTTTCTCCGGGTCCTCCGGTTTCCTCCCACTGCTAAAGACCCCTACGCGCAATCGAATTATGGAAATAAAATTGAACCATATGTTAGTCCCGAAATGACCTAGTTTGTGTCGAGTGGACGTTAAACCCCATTTCTCTCTCTCTCTCCATTGCACCATATGGTTGCAAAATGTTTGATAGGGTTATAATTTTGACTCGTCTGAAATGCTAATGTAATGTTAAATACTAGTTATTGTTAAGAATAATGGATGTTCTATCTAGCTTTATAATTTTTCATTGTTATTAGGTATTTTTTGTTGATTCGTAGTTCAGTTGTTTATCAAACGTTGTTGTGATCAGTTAATGGAAGTCTTATATAAGCAGCTGTAAATGGCCTGATAATAGATCAAGTTTACATTTTGTGGGATTCTGTCTATTTCTGTCTATAAGAATCCTGTTTTCCAGAATTGTTTGTGACGCTGATATCCGAGAATAAACTATTGTTAGATGTATCGGTTTATAACATGAAGAAAGTAAAGGACTTTTCAGAACAATGCATCAATTCTATGGAATTCGCTACCACATTCCATTCGAAAAATGGGAAACATTGTCTATCTTCAAATCAAGTGTGAAAACCTGGCTGTTTAGTCACTATTATTAACCCACATGAACACTTTTATGTGCCTAGAGCAAACTCAAGTGGGATGAATTGATGCGTAATATAAAGTTTGTTATTAATTCAGTTGAGAGAGAGAGAGAGAGAGACAGACAGACAGAGTTTAACGTCTACTCAACACAAACTAGGTCTTTCGGGACTAACAGATGGTTCAATTTTATTTCCATAATTCGCTTGTGCATAGGGGTCCTCAGCAGTGGGAGGAAACCGGAGGACCTGGAGAAAACCCATGAGATTCGACAGGCGACCCTACTCCTTGTCACGTACAACCGGGGAATCGAAACCATGCCAGTTGACTCAATGACAGGCTTTATGATACAGCACGCACGTGCTAACCATTCAGCCATCCAACCCCCCGTATCTATTTTGATTAAATATTCATAAAATGTTGTCTCGCAGTTTAATGTGCATGACAACTCAATCGAGGTTCCTTTTGAGTTGTGTCTGGGCGGATTTAGCCCTACCATTATTTGATCCTCAGAAGCATGAAGTTCTTTGGGTAATTTCTTGATAGTTAATAAGTACATATTATATAAATGTCTGTTTTCTGTAACCATGGTTATACTTCATAGTTTCGTTGATTGATATTTTTCAGGGGGTGAGTGAGGTGTCATTATGACGGAATCAACAGAAGTTGTTTTGGGGGGATCAAAACGCTTTGAATGTCGTGTGCTTGGTTTCCCCCGCCCAGAAATACGCTGGTATAAAGATGGAGTGGAGATTACACATGTTAAGAGATACAACTTCGACTTTACTCACGATGGCGTCATCTCGATGCTCATGGAGGAGATATCGCACAAGGATCAAGGGATGTATCGATGTCGAGCAGATAACTCTGAAGGAACAGCCTCAACATCAGCCTATCTTTTTGTCAGACGTAAGTCCTAGACATATTGGTTATTCAGATTAGGAACAATTTTCCATTGAAATTTTTGGCTAGTCAAGGAGAGAAGGTTTGAAAAAAAACCATCAATATTTCATGACCGTTGGAACGAATTTAATATGGGAGTGACGGGGCAGCTCATCGAATCAAAATTCAGTTGGGGTAGGGAAGGTGGGGTGCTTGTCCCAAGACAACTTTTAGACTAATGAATATAAACTCTTCAAAAAAAGAAACACTCAGCCCATTTTTCACAATTTTTTTATTTGAACAGGATCGTTGTTTCCATAAATTTTACTTGCTTTTAATGTCATTATGCAAGGATAAAAGAAATTCATTATTGGTTTTAAATGTCAGGTCACTAATTGTGACTAGTCATACTTTTTGCCGAAATTTGTTTTCGCTTGATTGCACCAAGAGACACACGCGTTTAACAACTTCGCAAGCTTTTCGTGTGAAACTCAAATCTAAGGCCTTTAAAATCCTGGGGTTCTCGGTTTCAAAATCAGTTGCACATGTAAACATTCAACGAGCCAAGTGATACCATATCTGAACGAAGACCAATGCAACAATGCTATCGGTCGGTTAAAAGCAGGTGAATACCAGACAGATGTAGGCAGGCTGCTGAATGTTTCCCAGAGTACCATTTCTCACCTTTGAGATAGGTACTGACAGCAAAGTTCAAACAAGCTCAGGTCAAACAAGAGTGACTCCACCTGCCCTGGATCGTCACATCTGGTTACGTTATTTGCAGAAACGGTTTGCAACAGCGACCTCTACTGCAACAGCAATTTCTGGACGGTGTAGGATCTCAGACCAGACAGTCCATAGACGCCTAGCTAAAACCGTATTACGAGCCAGACGTCCCGTTAGAGCTGTTGTTTTGAAATACGCGGACATCGTCAAATCCGACTTGAATGGGTTCAGACACACAGGATATGGCCACAGCAACGCTGGAGAACAGTTTGGTTCAGCGACGAGTCACAGTTCTTGTTGCAATGAGCCGATGGTAGATCGAGGGTATATTGATGACGAAACATCACTATGCGTTTCTTTTTTTGAATAGTATATATTTCAATTTAATGGAGGGGTCGGGTGGTTCTGATATTTACTGGAATTTAGTAACAAATCATGAAATTCTGACACTCCAATCACTGTATGGAAAAAAACTGTTAAAAATTTTGAGAGCGGAGTCACTCACCTCACTCTGCTATTTGACTGGTGTTTTTTATAATTTGGATTAATGTCACTTGATGAAATTGTATTTCTGTTTGTTCTGTATCTGTTTACACTTGAATTTTCAAAAGATTATAATTTGATATCTATGATCCTCCATTTTTATTTCAGAAAGACGTGGCTTACCAGATGAAGACACCATGTCTATTCATTCGATGACCATGAGCGAAGTGGACACCGAGTACGAAGAACGAAAACTGGAACTTGAAAGCTACGCTAAAAGAATGCAAGTAGATTTTGGTGGAGAAGATTTTTTGGATGAATTTGGAAGCAAGAGAACATTTGAGGATTTGGTCAGTGAAGAGAATCGTGAAAATCAATTAAGCGCTAAACTTGGTTTGGATGAGGTTAAAAAAGGACAGAAAGATAAAACAGACAAATCGATATCAAATGGGTATTACGAAGAATCTTTTTCATCCAAGCAAGAATCCTCTTATTATGAAGAAAGTTATGAAGAGTCCTCCACAAAGAAAGTTAAAATGAGTAAAAAGGAAGAGTATGTATCTTCTAAAAGTTCTAAAACATCAGTTGAATCTCAGGAAGAATTTAAAATGACAGCCGAAAGTTCACAAGTTGCAATAGAATCCAGTAGATCTGAACAAAATTCCAAAATATCCACAGAAACCTCAATAGAAGCCTGCCAGTCAGAATCCTCGTCTTCTCAAAAAATATCCATAGACTCAGAGATAACCTCAAGTCAGTCTGGAACAAGCTCACGATCTGCATCCCAATCTGAATCCCAGTTGCTAATAGAAGCCTCAGAGAGTTCTTTTGACAACTCTTCCAGTTCCTCTAGAACAACAGTTGAAGAAAGTGGTCTAAGGCTTGTGTCGTCTGAAATTGAAGTAGATGGCCATGTCACTTCACGTGAAGGAACTCTAGAACATGAAACCACAGTGGAAACTGATTCTGCAGAAGTAGACAGCTCGTTAATAATGGAAAGTAGTGTGGAAATCGAAAGTAAGAAAAAGAGAAAGAAGAGAATGAGTGTTGAAATGGAAATTGAAGAAAAGTCCACACAGGGTTTTGATGTGGAGTCTAAAACTACAAACACTAAGAAAGTCGAGGAAATAAAGACCCTAACTGCTGAAATGAAAACCATGACAAAAGATAATTTCCCCACAGATATGGGCAGTGTGAGCTCTATTTTCAGTTTGGTCTCAGAAGAAGGAGCAGAGGAATCTCTTACTCCCCTTAATCCAAGCGACGTGCTCGAGACCAAAATCCGGAACAAGCTTCAAGCGAAAGTTTTGGAATCAGAGAGTAAACAAGAATCGGGAAGTCTAGAAGAACTGGTTTTCTCAGAAGAGTCATTAACTGAAATAAGGAAAGAGGAGGCTAGTTCAAGAGCAGAACTGAGAGCACAACTTGAAAGTCAAGCACAAGAGGCATCCCTACCACAAGACAGGCTCCTGGATATTCCAATGGATGAGAAGGAAATCCTTGCAACAAGTCTTGGACATGATAGTGGAATCTTTGATATGTCCATGGTTGACACTCCCTCTCGTGTTGGGGAAAGTTCAATTGAAGCTTTATCTGAATCACCAAGCCTTTTGGACTCAACTTTGACCGAGGCACAATTTGTATCAGCTTTAGAATCCAAAGAAGGGGATGGTCAATCATCACAGGCAACATCCGAAAAAATTTTGTCCCAGACTGAAGAACAGAATCTAGATCAAGCAGATTCATCGCAACTTACAGATGTATCCAGAATTGAATCTCAGCAAGTCCAAGAACTCAATGATTCAGATAAAAAACGTGCTTTGGATAAAGCCAAGTCATCACGAGAAACTGCTTTAGCTGATGAACAGAGTGTTGTAAGTGATGATGCTTCCGTAGTGTCAAATCTAGATTCAATGAGTGCTGAAGAATTATCCATTAGCAGTCAAATTGATATGAAGGAAGCCTTAGACAAAGCCAGGTCTACTCAAGAAATTGCTCTGGTTGATGAAGTCCAGGATGGAAAGGAAGATGCCTCAATTGTTTCTGATCTTACAGATCTAGATTCTATCGTAGCAGATGAATTATCAGTTGATAGTCAAGCTGATAGTAAGAAATCAAGATCACAGTCCAGAAAGGAAGCTGCCTTTGTGGATGAAATATCCAACAGAGATGATGCATCAATTGTATCAGATTTAACAGATCTAGAATCCATCAGAGCTGATGAAATGTCTATAGATGGTCAAAGTGAAATTACTGAAGCAGAACTAAAAGGTCAAGAAACACTACATACAGATCAAGTTAGTGTTGCAGGGTCAGAAATAGATGATTTATCAGAACTTGCTTCTGTGGAATCAAACTTAAAAGCAAAGGAACAAGAAACCAGAGATTCTCTTTTGGCCAAAGATTCTGTTAAAATAGGTGAAACTGTTGATTTATTGGATGGTCCTGCTGAGGAAGCATCAGGAGTGGAGCTCTCAGATATCAAAGATCAGGATCTTCTTCAAGAACCAATTAATGAAGAAACAGTATCTGAATTTTCAGAAGGATCCATTCGTGAAGCATCAGAACTAGGTTTAGAAGATGCCATTCCATCTAGTGGACAGATGGTCACCAGTCCAAGTGATTTAACATCACTGGTCAGAGATGCGCAAGTTGCATCCCAAGCTGATCCTCAAGTTTCTGAGGCAGTTCAAGACACAATAGATGGAGCTTTGAAGGATCTGCAATTGGTCAGCACAAAGGTGTCAGAAGAACCTAATCCTAACAAAGCTGATGTTGGAGATATTCCTGAAATTCTTGAAGCTGAAGCTGAGAAGGTTTCAAAGAAGAAAAGAACCGAGGATCAAGAATTGTACTTTTCATCAGAAGTTGAAACAACCGAGAAGAAAACTAAGAAGAAATCAACTGAGGAAGAACTAACTTTAACTACATCTGTTGAAACAAGCGAATTTGAAATATCCACAGAAGAATCATCCACAACCATTCAGGCCGAGGTGGATGTTTCAGATATTAAATATGATGAACAAGGATTGAAGATATCAGCTTCTGTGGAAGTTGAAGAAAGACGATTTCCACCAGAAGTTGTTAAAGTTCCAGAAGATGTCAATGTCCAGGCCGGGGAGACAATTCATCTGATGTCGGAAGTTACTGGTAAATGTTTTTAAAATAATCTTAATTGGAATTATATCAACCTGAAATAAACAAACTCAAGAAAGAGGGAGAGAAATAGGGTTTAATGTCACCTAGGTCATTTCGGGACTAACATGGTGCAATTTATTTCCCATCTTCAATAGACCAGTCAGAGCAGAACAGTAGGATGTTAAACCCCATTTCATTTCATTTTACAATTTATTACAATAATTTGCTTATGCATAGGGGTCTTCACCTGGGCAGGTGACCCTACTCCTTGCTTGTCAGATTGAAACCATGCCACTTTACTCAATGACCATCGGTATGATCTAAAGCACGCGCATTAGATCTTTCGACCACTATGAAAGGAAGGGAATCATCCTTTGTAACAAAGCTTGCCGGTGCCTGTTACTAAAAGAATATAACTCCTCTTTATCTATCCAATTCAAGCTTAAGTATAGTTTCTCTGCTTCAGATGTCGTTCAGGTACTACTTCCTGGTTTGATTAGAATTGAAAAGGACTAAAATAAATCGATTGGGATCACAACAAAATCGACTCAACATTATTTTCTTGCATATTATATTTTTTTTCTTCAGGAAATCCTAAACCGGATGTTAAATGGTTTAAAGAAGGAGAGAAAGTTTGTGAGAGTCAGCGAATCACCTTGGTAACAGAAGACAGTGTTTATTCACTGGAAATTCGCGAAGCTGAAAACAGTGATGGTGGAACGTACACATTGACAGCCCACAATGCTGAGGGAACCATCTTAAATGATGTTCACGTGAATGTTTCCGTGCCACCAGGACAGGAGGATAAACTGATAATGGAAAACGAGAATATCAGGTAAGGAAAGGGAGTAGGGTCACATTTGGTAAATTTTATTTTTATGGCTGTATGTGAAGGAACAGTAATTTTCCGTAGGCAGTGGTTCCTATGTCTTGTCACGATTTGTACCCAACATATTCTAATCAGGAGTCCATTAACTTTGACTATCATGGTAAGCTGTTAGGTTTCAGATGGGACAAAAAAAAACCAAAACGACATCCTCTGTTTACCAATAGCTACATGTTAAATTTCTCCTGACCAATGAAATAAGAGAAGGCCTAACACCGTTGTCTCCACTCAAAGCACGCTGCATAGCGTACACCCATCTTCAATAGACATTATCCAAAATGGCTTCACAATTACTCTATCTGGAGCATTATAATGATTTGGGACCTTGTGAATTTCTTTTTTTATTTTACTGCAATTAGACAAATTTACGGACATAAGGCAAGACAAGGACATTATAAGCCATCACATTACTACTAATATTTTGTAATATAGGTTTAATAGTTTATCTGTATATAATATTTGTGTATTTACAGTGTTACAGCTACACTATCCCTACCAAAATTTACAAAAAAACCAGAAGACACAACAGTATCTGAATTTGATCAGGTTCAATTTGTTTGTGAAGTACAAGGTAAGAATATTCTAGAGTTAGATTCCCCGGTTGTACGTGACAAGGAGTAGGGTCACCTGTCCAACCTCGTGGGTTTTCTCTGGGTCCTCCAGTTTCCTCCCACTGCTAAAGACCCCTTTGCGCAAGCGAATTATTGAAATAAAATTGAACCATATGTTAGTCCCAAAATGTCCTAGTTTGCGTCTAGTGGAAGTTAAACCCCATTTCTCTCTCACTTTTATCTTCTAGAGTTAACTCTTCTAAGAAATGTTGCAGAGTCAAATACCTTCATTGGGAGGATCAAGAAGGGTTTTAAGCTCTGTTTCAGTGACTAGGGAGCAACAGTTTTAAAAATGAACTCAGTTACAATCTTCTACTATTCCTCTAATTTGTCTAAGGTTGTTGAGTCAAATAGCTTCATTTTCGTCGAGTGGCGTCTCTTCCGTCATTGAAACATGCATCGAAACTGGCATACAGATGTAAAACAAAGAAGTCGTAAAGAATTACTCCCCCCCCAGCACCACTGGAGTGATGTGAAGTATTAAAGAGCTGTTTACTGGTTTTGAGTTTTGGACTTTAGGCAGTCTAGGGAAAAGTAGTTTCGGGAGTAGTAGTTTCAGTGAGAACCTTGCAACGATAAGGATTTAGTCTTTCTGGTGGGGCAACCCCACCCCACCCTCCTCGAATGTTTCTCATATCGCACTGCAGTTGTTTTTCCATAATCCTGTTTCTTTCAAAGATCAGAGTCTTGTCGTTTGCATGCCCCCACCCCCAAAAAGTCGTCATTCTCACATCAACCCTGTTAATTTCTATAATCCTGTTTCTGTGTCGTTCCCTAGGTAATCCTGAACCCAAGGTCAACTGGTTGAAGGAAGGACAGAAGTTAAAATCCGATCAGAGGATGAGAATCTACCAATCAGATGGTCAACATTTCCTGGAAATCCCACAATCCTCCATTCTGGATTCTGGAGAGTATGAATGTCAAGCTAGTAACAGCGAAGGTTCTACTTCCTGTCATGTGATATTAACAGTTGAAGGTAACTAATTTTATTTTGGATATTGCAATATTTGACTATGAATTAAAAATACAACTTCCTCTTCTCCAGGGTCAGTACAGAATTGAGGAGCTTTACGTAGATATATCACATTAGTTGGGTTTGATAATGGTCAACAACAATTTTTATGTCCAGAAAAGCTGGGTTGAGGGCAATGGTTCTGACACTGTTCACACAGAGCATATTATTTCTCTTACATTCATCGAAATAAAATCGATCCAAAACTGTAGGACGTTAAGTCCCATTCCATTTTTTTTGGGGGGGGGGGGGCGGAGGGGGGGGGTCTGTCTTTGAGTTGACTGGCGTGGTTTCGATTCCCAGGTTGTATGTGACAAGGAGTAGGGTCGCCTGTCCAACCGCAAGAGAATTATTGAAATAAAATTGAACCATACGTTAGTTTCAAAATGACCTCACTGTCTCTCTCTCTCTCTCATCAAAATAATGTCAAACAAACAAGTGTTCGAATCATCATTCCCTCCGTTTTGACCTCACTCCACTCTAATTATATATATGGACGTACCTAAATAAGCAGAAATATTGTCTCGGGTCTTCTTATATGATAAAAGCAGATGCCAACCACCGCTGCTCAAATTTATGGAATGTTTCCAGGTTCAATTAAAAGAAACAAATAATACTCTATAGTTCTCTCCCTTCTTCTAACCAGCCACAAGCATTTTATTCTTTAACCTGAAATGTCTTTGCTTGATAAAGACGATAGCACCCTCGTGGAAACGTCTCTGTAATAAACCCTTCAAGTATCTTGTATTCCATATAATTGTGTCATGTGTTATTCTCATCCAGTTGCTAAATGCCACTCAAACAATAAAATTTCTTTTTTTAATATCTCATCTCATCCCATTCCCCATCCTATCCCATCTCAACCCTTCCATTCCCAATCTTGTTGAATATGTACACATTGCTCATCCTAAACTGTTTTTGGACATTTCAGCCTTTGATAATTCTATGCCAATTACCCGGAGCCACAGTGACTAAGTGGGTGAGACACTGATTGCTAATCTGGAGGTCGCGTGTTTGATCCTTGCATTGGCAGCAAAAGTTCATCAGGATTTTCCAAGTTTTGAACGTTTTGCTTTTTTTTTATTTTCTAGCTGCAACAGAACAAGAGAGTGGTTTATCTGCTGCAGAAGAAGTTCCACAAGCCTCAGAATCAGACGTTCGTACTCGCTACCTTAAATTATTTGGTGCTGCTGCGGCCTTTACCCTTGTAGCATTTGGTTTCCATAAACTCACGGAAGGAAAACTCCCCCTCAGTCGTTAGTGTAGTATTAGTTATCTGCCCATGATATGTTATGTTAAAGTTTGTATAAGGCATGTTTTCCATGGTTGCATTTCCCCCAGTGAAAAAGTTGGTCTGATACAAATGTAATGGGACTGTTTCCATGTAACTGTCGGAAAACGAGTGGAAACGCATACATGGAAGACAGGCTTAAAGCACAATGCATAAAAATACATTCCTATCTGAAAAAAACAACTCACAAACTAAAAAAATGTGTTAATATGAGACATTTGGATAATCAGATCGACTCCATCTCTGTGTGTGCTTTAGAATTTAAAGCATGTTTGCATGAATGTTTGTTTGAATGAATTTTAAAATGACCATGATGTTATTTTATAAAGAACACCTTATTTTGATCTCAATATGCTGAACTGATTCTTAAGAAAGAGACCAATCTCTTTCTCAGTGTTTGGAATAACACATTTTTTTTTTTTTTAAACTTAAGCTGCCTTGACTAAAATAAAGTTTTTTATTAGACAACATGAACTAATTTAAACAAAATTCTTTTGGTTGGGGCGCAGCAGGGGCGGGGGCGAAGAGAGAGAGAGATACAAGAAATTAAATATAAAAATAGGTGATGTCATAATTAATTACTTCTAATAATTATATTTGAGTTGACATCTGATAAATGAACAAAAGAGGTAAACGTGAGCTTCAAAATCCAACATGAACTTTTGATTTATTTAGTCAAATGATACCAGATTTCATAATTATTTCGCTGAAACAGGAGGTATTGGATGGCCGAATGGTTTTAACGCAGGTGCCTTAGATCATAAGGTCTGTCATTGATTTAGATGACAAGGTTTTGATTCCCCGCTTGTCCGTGACGAGGAGTATGGTCACTTGTCTAACTTCAGGGGTTTTCTCGGGGTCCTCCAGTTTCCTCCCACTGCTAGATTACTGAAATAAAATTGAACCATATGTTAGTCCTGAAATTACCTAGCTTGTGTCGAGTGGACGTTAAACCTCTCTCTCTCTCTCTCTCTCTTTCTCTCTCTCTCTCTCTCACTCTCTACAAAATGAAAAATATCACTCGGCTGTACAAAATGAAGTGTTCTTTAAATATCATTGTCTGGTGTAGTGGTTGTTTTGAAAGGATTCAGGTTCTCTTAAGTTTACAAACATATAAATCTTCAATTGATTTATTGATTTGATTTGATATTCAAATTACATTTCAAAACGAATAAAAATCTTTTAGTTTGAACACACTGATAATATTTTATAAAAAAATCTAATCTGCTATTTTAAAGTCAACACTGTTTATTATTTTGTCAAAGTAGATAATTAAACAAAAGCGAGACACTAACACTGTTTTCATCGTCAGATATTATTACACCAGCGTTTCGAAAAAACAGGATATATACCTCTTCAAAACGTTGGTCTAATAATATCTGACGATGTAAACGCAGTGTTAGTGTCACTTTTGTTTATCTACTTCAATATTTATCTAGTGAAGAACACTTCCGTATCGGATTCCTCGATCCATTTTTTTCATATTCCTGTTGGACGCAGATTCTACACAAGTTTTGTATTATTTTATCCAAAGAGTACCTGAATCTGAAGAGAATGTGCTTGATTTGTTTTGTTTTTGATGATGTTTAAAATGGTTTTTGTTCTGTTAATGCATGTGTTGAAGTAGTTAATTAAGGATTTTAATCGCCCCATTGTTAAAAGTTACATATAATTTATTCATGATCAATGGACCCAACAGATCACCAAATTATCATTTTTTACCAAAATATATCTCTTGGAATATATTGACTTTTATTGTTTTTTAATTGGGTATTATTATTATTATTGATTATAGTTTGTTAATAGAACTCATCAATTGATAGTAGAAATATTTTAGTAAAAGTCATTATTTATTAGTAGGAATTATTACTTTAATATTTCCAAGTTTTGTAAAATGTAAAGATATTAAGTTTTTAATTTAAAAACTCTCTAAGGTTATGTAAGTATTATACATGTAGTTTTTGATTATTAATATTATTGTTACTATTAAAAAACTATTTTTTAAAATTATCATTAATCATTATTAAATTTTTCTTGTTGATTTTTTAGATGATTTTTACATTTTTCAAAGTTTTTATTAATCGTGAAACTTACCCTTATTTTCTTGATAAGACAATCGTTTATTTTACTAATAATTAAACAATAATTAATATTGATTTTTGGTTAAATTTGATTGATTTTGAAGTACATTCCATATTATTTTGAATGACACATTTATTTCAATTTTTTATTCCAATCTATTTTATTATCAAAAGTTAAAATTTCAAGTTTTTATTCCAATTTATTTTATTATTGAAAGTTAAAATATCTTAAAAGATTTTATCCCTTTTTAAAGATTAAAGCGATATTAAATTAGTACCTTTTGTATTATAATGGTTCTGTTGAATAAGTTTTTCAAGGACATCATTAAAATGTAAATTTATATTTTGTTCAAATAAACATTCCTTCATTATTAACTCACTTGTGGAATATTTCCAGATATTTAGATTTTGAATCATTATAGAAAGATCATTATTTTCTATTTTATGGCAATTAGTTTATCATTAACTCACTCTGCGACGTCAACATTTCCAGAGATTTCCTATCATTATTGAAAAACCATTATTTTATGATAATTATTTTATACTGCCAAATTTTATATTTTAAAATTTATTGTACAGTAATAAAAGATCTGTGATATGATATTGAAATGAAATAAAAAGTTATATTGGGACGTTATGATTCCATATATTCGGGGAGCCACGGTGGCTCAGTGACTAAGTAAGACATTGGCTTGCTAACCCGATGGTCCCCGTGTTTGATCAATGCGTTGGTCGAGAAAGTTCTTCAGGATTTCCCAGGGTTGTCATTGGTGCAGGACCGAGAGCCTAGCAAGGGACAGCATATAGTCGTTCGGATGGGGCGGAAAACCTAGGTCCATTGTACATATTGGCGTGGATGTAAAAAATGCCTTGGCAGTAGGAATTTGATATAAGAGTAGGATGTAGAATTGCTGTCCGGGCAAAATTTCGTCTATAGCAAACTGCTGTATGGCGTATGCCCATCTTTATTATCCCAGTAGGAGTAGAAGAGTAGGACAGACATTAAGCCATATTTCATTTTATTTCGATTGCAATCACTATGGTTATGGTTGAATTACCGTACTGTATATATTAGGACAACATTATATAGTGTAGGGCCTACAGGATTATCAAAATTACCGTTATATGTGATAATTACTTGTTTCATATGAACCATATGACCGATTCTCACTAAGGTATGACTGTTATTGGAGTTACCAAGCCTGTTCATTAACTTCTTAAAGTAATAATAACCTCTTTGTAATTATTGAGCCTAAAGTTGATGGATTTAGGATACCATAATGGCCGCTTCATTGTTTTATCAATCAGCTTTTTCAAAAGTGAGGCAGCTCATGCCAACTATAATCAGCCGGTTAAGATCCCTTGTGTAGGCCACAGGCCTTTTGACCCAAATGTCCCTGTTTCAAATCCTGGTGAGGGCAGGTGGGAAGAAGCTTTGGTATGTTACAAACGTGGCTCTCACTTGTCAAGGGTTTGTGGAGATGGCTAGTTACCGGTACGTGTTGCAGAGAGGGGTTTACTAGTCCGTGGGTTCACTAGTCCCCCAAATTCTTAAACCTAACCCAACCCCTAATAATAGATATCGGTGGTCTAACCTTAACCCTAACCCTAACCCATCCCCCAATAATAGATATCGGTGGACTAATGAACCCGTGGGTTCATTAGAGAGCATTTCCTGTGTTGCGGAGTCTTTTGACTGTATCAATAAGATATCCATGGTTTGTGAAGGTGAAAAGTTATGTGTTACCTAGTATATATAAGGGCTTGCAAGATTCCTTCACATGGAATAATCCAGTTTTATTCACTAACATATATTGGGGATTTCTCCTTTAATAATCTAAAAGAAATTTCTAGGTCGAAATATTTTGACCAGTTAAACTTTTCAAAAATTTGAATGAAAAATAATAATGACCACTTAAATATAATAAGTAATTTTGATGATCTAATTTGTTTTGAACGGAGGGCCTGACAAGGACAGCTGTCTAGTCCTTCGGATGAGACGAAAAACTGAGGTCCCGTGTATTCATTGGAATGCACTTAAAAGATCCCTTGGCGATAGTGCCGCTGCCCGGGCAAAATTTCGCTCATAGCACACTGTATGGTGTATGCCCGTCTTCATTAGCCCAGGTTAGGAGCAGAACAGTAGGACGTTAAACCCCATTTCATTTCATTTCCTTTCTAACATGTTTTATTTTACTCCAATCAGTAATGCATAGTGACTAGTAGTATGAATTGAATGCAGTATTTTTATACATACACATTTTCATGTGGATGTATATTGTCGTCGCACCTGTCCTTCCACCATTTCACATTTTGTTATGGACACTCTACAGGTCACAATTTTTAACAGATTTTGACAAAACTTGATATGTAGGTCTATATCTCAACACTCTCAGTTCCTTTCGATATTTTTATGTATGGGACGGTAATCTCATGGATTATGCCCCCTCCCCCCATGAATGTATGAAAAAGCAGGTTTTTAGCTTGTGGATACTCTAGAGGTCTCAATTTTTGATCCGATTTTATGAAACTTGAAATGTATATTTATAACCCAAATATCTCAGCTCCTTGCGATATTTGTGTATAAATTCCTGGGTTGTGGTCCCTCTAGAGGTCTGAATTTTTATCCAATTTTGATTAAACTTAAAATGTATGTTTATTTCCTAACGGATCTCGGTTTCTCTTATATTGATGGATGTCGGACTGTAACATCCTGGAATATGACCCCTTATTGTTTGAAAATCGCTTTTTTTTTTTTTTTAGCTTGTTCTCTGTCCATCTCTTGAAAATTGTTGGTTGTGTCTTGCATGGCAACTGCTTGTTAATGGTGGTATAGTTTTAAACCCATCTATATATAGATTAAGGTACATGACTGGTGCATATTGATTGATTTAACTAGAGTATTTTATAATGGATGTGCTTCCCTGGTTATATACGTGACAGGGAGTAGGGTCGCCTGTCTAACCTCGTGGGTTTTCTCCACCTGTATATAGATTAAGGTACATGACTGGTGCATATTGATCCATTTAACTAGAGTATTTTATAATGGATGTATCCAGACTGAAGACATCAGCCCCCTCTACCCCCCCTTCTAAAAATATATTTAAAATATATTAATTAGCAAGGGGAGTGTTCCATTTCTACATTTACAAATGATATGTAGAACAGAGTTTTTTCAAAATTTTTGCCATTTTACCAGCTTATGTTGTTGGTAAAATTTGTATTATTATCTTGCCACCCATTTGATATTTTCACCCATGTGCCACCCTTATCACCATATTACCACCCATATCATATTACCATCTATATCCCCATGTGTCCACCCATATCACCTTGTTGCCACCCATAACATATTACCACCCATGCCATATAACCATTTATATCCCCATGTTTCCACCCATATCCCCATGTTGCTATCCGATCACAGATTACCACCCATCTCATATTGCCACCCATATTACCATCTTGTCACCCTAACCCAACCCACCCTACCACCCTAACCCATCTCACATTACCACCAGTATCCCCATTTTGCCACCCCATCTCACATTACAACTCATTACTACCCATCTCATATTATAATTCATACCACCGATCTCATGTTACCACTTATATCACCATATTATATTTTGTTACCATGACTACATGTTATCAACTGATATTAACCTAACTCGTTACCATGACTGCATGTTATCATCTTATATATTAACCTAACATGTTACCATAATTGCATGTTATCAACCTAACCTTGATGTTACCATGACATGGACAAGCCATCATCTGATATTAATCTAACCTGTTACCATGACTACATGCTGTCATCTTATATATTAACCTAACCTGTTGCTATGACTACCGGTTATTACCCATCATTTTACATGTTTTAGGAGTTCTTCCTGAAAGAA